CCTGTCTGCAGGTGCAGACGCTGAAGAAGTTCAAGCACGTTCTGGACTATCGCTTGAGAGAGGCGACATGGGACAGCGGACAGGGCAGCCCACTTCGTCTCGCTCTGCTTGCCATGCTTGCCAGGTGACAGAGTCCTTGAAGCCCAAAGAGGACATGATCGCGCAACTCCATTTGCCGCACCGGCTGGTGGGGGTTCAAGAGTTGCGAGATGAACGTGGGTCTTCAGATTCAACAGCAGCGATGAACCTCCAGAAGTTAATCTGGTGTTTTGGAGAGAAGGTGCCGCATGGAGCAGGAAGGATGCGGTTCGCTCACTGGGGTTGCGATTCGAGCAGAAGATAAAGAATCGATTCGTTGCGGTTCGTTGCGCGTATGGTACCGGATTGTTGTGGTTCGTTTCGGTGAATTATTCTTGCGGTTCGATTCGAATCGTGTTCAGGGGTTTGTCTGAGGGAAGGGGCTCGGGGACCGGCTGGTGCCTGGCGCAGGTCGCCGCTCGGGCGGGAGGGTTTCGACTTCTTGGGTCTTAAAAGGTTTGGAACTCGTTTCGGTTCACACTTCAGACGTTGCGGTTCGATTCGGTTCGGTTCAGTATTCTTGCGTTTCCTTGCGGTTCGTTTCCTTGCGTTTCGATTCCCGGTTCCCGTTTCGATTCGCGGCTTCCCTGATGGAGGGTTTCTGATCAAATGAAGCACATGGTTTTCAGGGAACGACGAGAGTTCAAAGGACGGAGGGAAGAGTGGTTCAAGGTGGCACAGAAAGCAGGTTTCGGTGTTGGAAGCGGCAGAAGAAATTCAAAGGGGGGGCATGTTTGTGTTGGCGGACTTGAAGCCTTAAGCATCTTCTGGATGCCATCTGCCACGTTTGCCGTATTTGAGACTGCCAGGCAGCTCTCGGCGCTGGAAGAGGAATTTGAGCGGCAGCTGGAGATCCAGAAACAGATGGTGTCACCCCACGCTCGGAGCTTGTATGTCTGGTCGCTGGCCGATGTCCAGGAGAGTGTTCTGGAGACGAAATCTGCTCAAGTGCTTGAGCTGTCTGCAGAGGCCAGGCGCCTGGTGCGAGTGCTTGCAACAGTCAGCTCATGGCGTGAGGCTGAGAAGCAGAAGGAGATCTTGAAGCAGCCGGAGCCCCGCTACAGCCCCGGTGGTCGGGTTTGGTGTGGTCCGGTCCAGGCGCGAGCGGACCATCTTCCGATACACCGCCGACCTCCTGGAGCTGGCGGCCGACCAGGCCAGCCTGGGCGCCTGGGGGCGGAGCTGCGGAGCGCGCCGTTTCTCTCCCGTCCCCCAGGACGTGCGCAACTGGCACCTCGGGCTGAAGAAGATCTGGCGTGACCATGTGAATCCTGAGACCTTCAAGAAGGATTGAAGAGCAGCAAGTCTTCTTACAACAGGTTGGCAGATGCTCGTAATCCAGGACGAGGGGACAAGTCTTCCGATGCAGGAACTCGGCCGGCAGATTCAGGCCAGCGGGCTTGCAGGGGGGTTACCTGGGAATGCAGTGCAAGGAGTAGACATACTCTTTGCCTGAAGTCAGGGATAGGCTTTCCACTCACCGCTTGAAAGTCTGAGGGATGCGTTTTGCAAGAGGAGAGAGGCCATAGCGTTTAAACTCCCGTGGTCCTCCGCAGTTTTGCAGACACTACGGCGGCGGTGGGCACTCTGGTGACCACCAGCCTCTTGGGAAACCCAGCGTAGGTCTGCTAGGATCAGACGGAAAGAGGACTGACTTAGCCGTGATATTCAGCATGGTTGCACAAGCTGCGAATCCACAGACCACGTCGAAAAGACCTGCCTCCAAGCAGGTAGCAAGACACAGCACAACACTGCTGCCTAGTCAAGTAGCATGTAGCGAATGACCCTCCTGGGCAATGTTGCCGCCAACGATGTCCTTATTTGCAGTGTGCTTTCCGCCCTCACTGGTGCAGAGCTTGCGCGTCTTGAGATGGTGAGTGCTAGCCTCCTAGCAGAGCTGACGGCTTCTCAGCACTGGGTGAAATACGTCCTGGGCCTGTCGCACGTTTGCTTGGCTGGGGATTGCCTAGAGCTCCTGGAGCGTGCTGGCCCGGAGCGCTCGGGCATGAAGGCGCTCTTCTGCAAGCTGGCCTCCTTGCTCGCGCACACAGAGGATCCAGCCCTTCCCGAGCCTTCGAGAGCGCCAACACGCGTCGTTTTCGGGTCTTCGTCGGATCTTCAGAAGTTGCTGGATTCTAGTTGAGAAGCGACCTTCATAGGGTTATGAGAATTGAAAACTGGACTGCTTTTCCTTTTGAGCTTCGCTCTCCTTTGAGCTGAGGTTGGAAAGGAAGCTGGAAGCGGCCGAGCAAAAGGCCAGGCAGGCGAGGCGCGATGGGCTCGCGACAACGGAGGCCATGATCAAGTGCTTCCAGTTCAGCGATGGGAGTGTGAGTTCACCCGTCTCCTTTCGCTTGGGGCTAACGACCCAGATATATCTGCTCCAGTTAGGCTGGACGACTTCCGACGATGTGGTGCTGAAAGTGGCGCTGCATTCTGAATCCGATGAGATTGTCCAATCTTCTGAGACCCAGAATTTGCTGTCCATCAGCATCTCAACGATTGGCACAGGCCCGTACTTCGCTTCCCGTGATACCATTGTGACTCCAGATGAGCGCTGGTGGAGCACCAACGGCATTTGCACCATGCTTTCCGTCGATGAGCTTATGAAAAGCCTCTCTGCGGGGCTTTGGTGTGTTGTGTGCGTATGTCAACACCCTGACAATGCACCACAGCCACCATCCCGACGTGCCACCAACGTGCTAGAAAGCCTGTCACTTCAGCCTCTTGAAGCTGACTTGGCACCAACCTTCACCTGAGTTTTTCGTTCTTGTCCGTGCCACAACGTGCACACAAACGGTCAGAAACGCACATGCAGCAAACGATTGCAAAGCTTCAAAGAGAGGTAGCGAGTGTTAAGAGTTTCCTGAGCCTGGGCTGGCGCCGCCAGTTTTCCATGTCTGTCCACCTGGGCGACTGCGTGATGGCCGAAAGGTACAGCGCGCATGATCGCCTTGAATTATCTGACGGTTTCAAGGCAATTTTTGCACGAAGTGGACATATGTATAGAACCATTTTCCATCTGTGTGTAAACTTGGAAAAGAAAGAGATTACCTGCCAGCCTTGCCTTCTTCCTTGCTGCAGCTCGGCTCTGCCATCGTTGCCAAGGTCATGGAGCGCAAGGCATCCATGCTGGCTCTGCGGAGCAAGCGGGGCGAAGCCACCTGCAAGGCAGGGAAAAGTTGGTAGATGCTGGCAGCAGCCACCAGGACCAGCGAGTAGCACAAGAGGTCCGCAGCAGTGTGTATAGGCTTTGTCTCGGAGCTTCAGCTGGAGCCTGCTTGGAGGCAGACACACGCCGGAAAACGCAGGAGAATTCCTTACTGATCCACGAGCTGGAAGAGCACATGCCTTGGCCCGTTGGCCCGCAGCTTTTCTGCTCCTGGCCTGCTTCGTTGCAAAGGCTCCGGATCGAAAAGAAGTCTCTCCAAGCCGAAGTACAGGAGAGCGTCGCGACGTAGTACGACGTGCGGATGTCGCGCTGTCGTAACCATCGTAAATTTCACGCTCTGCCGCCTCGGAAGGAGTTGGAGCTGCAAGTGCATCTGGCCGAGCAAAGAGCAGAGAACAAGGAGGTGGGATTCTGGGATCAGACGTATCGCTCCGTCCTGGCCTCGTCTAGCTCGTCTGTTGCAGATCCGGAAAGCCTTGCCGGGAAAGCCTGGGTGCTGCTGGCATGTTTGACGAAGCCTCTTGCCGCCCGACGTGATGGAGCGATGATGAACCAGGCTGGAGCGAAGCCAGAGCAATCCCAGGCAAGTGCCAGAGGCAGGCCGCGCGGGGCATGCCTTCATGGGGATTCTCTTTCTTTGGGCCTTCTTGGCAAGGCCGGCCAAGGTCTCTTCGCCGAGGCAAGAAGCTCAAGCCCCACTCAGTTCGCATCATGCCTTCTGTGCGCTTCGCAGGCTCCGGCCATCCACAGAGGGCCAAAGGGAAGCAAAGTGAGCAGTGGCCCCGTTGTGAAGAAGAGTGCCCACAAGTCCCAAGAAGAGCCCGGCACCAAGCTGCGAGAGGAAGTTTGTGCCGCAGAGCGAAGCGGACTGTGAGGCTTCGCAAGGCGAAGCTGAGCCGCAAGGTGGCCGAGCAGCGGGAGCAGCAGCGACACCAGCAGAGGTGCAGCGACTGATCTGCAGTCTGCCTTGGAAGCGGAACTCAGCTCAGCTATGCTTGTAGGGTGCGAGAAGAGCTTGTGCCCCAGGAGCTTGCATCTCAGCATTCCTTCAGACTGCTCATTGCGACACCTTGAGAGATCTGAGGCTGGACAGCCTCATGAAGCGGCGGGCCGAAGAGGAGCATCTTAGGCGCGAGAGCCGTGTCGAGAAGAAGACGAGGGCAATTGAGGAATGCTCCGCGAGGTCTACCAGCTCAGCGGGCGGCTCCCAAGCTTCAAGCGGGCCTCCCGCGGGCGGTGCACTGTCAGTTGCGGCAGCCTCGACGTCTGATGGTCTGCTTTTTGCATAGATTGGGTCTGTGCCAAGGTGCGATTCCATCAGAAAGGATCGCCAGCCGGCTCGGTGGACTCTGTCTAAGGCAGAATGCAGGTAAGTTGTCTCCAGTGAGGGGAAACCTGCTAGGCCCTCTGCGGCACAGCTTGGGCTGTGGAGCTTTGACAGTCTCACCCCCATGCCATGTTAATGCCTCCGCGCCACCCGCGACATCCCGCTGCCGAGTGTACAGCGCAGGGCGCACCAGCGAAGTCCAAGACTTGGCTGAAAGGACGGGCCTCAAGCCGGTTGCCCGCTTCGAATTTGTCTGAGACCAGACGCCAAGAACAAAGTGGGCCCGGGGTCTAAGGTCTGAGGTCTCGTTCTAGACTCTACACACGTCCGTCACGCTCCTTTCGCGAAATCCCAATGCCCAGCTTTCCATACTTTCCGGAGTTGTGGTGTTCATGGGCACGGCATGGCGGCATAGATGTCTGCATGTTCCGAAAAAGCCTCCTGGACTTCTCGTGGCTGCCCTGGGCCGTCGGAGGGAGCCTCTGCAACCGGCGACCGGCGACGAGGGCGACCTGTGACTGTGAGGAGTCAGAAAGACAGCGCGTCCTCGTGGTTGGAGCGGGACTGACCGGCTGCCTGGTGTCCAACCTGCTCAGGTCAGGCTAGAAACACGGCGACACAGAGTAACACAGCGTACCTGTGGTGCCATAGCCGTAGACTTAGACGCCGTAACGTTGCAACCTTGCTGGTGTGAGGCGGCAGGGACCGCCTGGGCTGGAGATCGAAGTCTGGGAGCGTGCCACCTACCCGTCAGGCCAGCAAGTTCGTAGCATCGTCGCATCGGTGTAGTGGAGGGTATAGGCCATAGACCCGTGGGACTGGTACAGGTCGCTTCGGTGCCACTTTCTCCTTTGAGAAGAAGCCTCTGCGAAATGGTGGTCGGTCTGATGGCACAGGAAACTGGGTCGACCTCGGAGCCCAGGCCGTTTCAGCCATCTTTTGCAGGTGCTCTGCTCCCGGAACCCCGTGTTTTTTTGCTTTTGCAGGTGCTCTCGGCGGTGGAGGTGGGCTCCGGGCATCCAAATGCCGGGGCCACTGGGCACAACGTTTCGGCTTCTGATGTGGCTGCTTGTTGGAGGGAAGTGCAAGGAATGGTGGACGAGGGGTTGCTCGAGCGAGTGCCTGAAGAGATGCTAGCAGAGACAGAGGAGCGGATGAAATACGAGGGCCTGTGGGCGCACTTCTGGTGCAGATGGGGCCTCGGCTATCTGCTGAGGAGATATATTTCCCAGGCCAGTGCGCACCTGCGCCTGGGAGTGCGAGCCGAGGCGATTGCGTTTGAGCGAGGTGGGCAGGTGACTGTGCGCGGCAGCGCACGTGGCTGTGGTGGAGCATCGTCTATGCAAGCTCAGGCAGATGTGGTCATTCTAGCTGTCCCGGCACCTGACGCAGTAAAGGTGGTGCAGCTCCCACGGCACGTTGCAAATACCATATCAGGAATCGAGTATGATAGCCGCACGGCCGTCGCGATTTTCTTCGATCCGGTTCTGCAAGAGCCTGTCGCCCGTGCATTTCAGGGGCTGGCGGAAGTATCCCTGGATATCCACTCCAAAGAAGAAGTGCACCTGGTGTCCTGGCAAAATGCAAAGGACAAAAGCTTCGCTCATGGTGACATTGTTCGACTTGTGGTACACTCGGCGGAGGGCGTTTCACTGAACGGGCCAGGTCCCGCCTTAGAGGCCCTTTCAGTCATGCTCGGGCTGTCAGCTGCTTTGCTTGAGCATCTTCTACTCGACTGGAAGGTGGTGGATTGGAAAGTTTGCCAGATGGTCCGGCCTTTCGAAAGTCTTCAGACCGACCTGGAGCTGGAGCTCTCGGAGCCAGCGCTGAGAGTCAGCGGTTCGCCGATCATTTTGGCAGGCGATTACTGGTGCCAGAGCAGCTTTCTAGGCTGCTTCTGTTCGGCGAGCGCCGCAGTTCGCCAAGCCCTGGCAAGTCTGAGGCGTTGCCCACCAGAGACGTCTTCGCGACGCAACACATGCTCGACGGATGGGCATTTGTGAAGACAGAAAATGGGCTCACTTTCCGTCGGTTGCAACTGTTTTGTTCGGGTTGTTTTTCTAGTCAGACTTGCTGATGGTGCCTGCGTGGCACGGCTTTACTCGGCTCCCCTGCTCAAGTATCATACTGTTGGTTAGCGGGTACATCAGCAGAGGACAGGACGGACAAGCAGTCAGGGCAACACTACGCATGGCGTCACCAGCGATTGCCGAGTTGTTCATGGAATTGTATGGATGCACGATGTTTTTTCGCTGATTCTCGACAGTCCAAGAATTTCCATAATATAGACATGTCTACAGCAGTGGTGTGAGCAATGACGGACCACTTCGTTTGGCGAGGGCTCCGGCAGGCCAACACGACCCTCATGAATAGTGTCGGCGAGCCCTTAAGGGCTAAGCACACCTGTAGCGACATTTGCAGAAGAATCGATTCTCGTTCAAATTTACGGCAAGCTAACATATATTACCCTTGTATCCCCTTGTCAGTTTCCGAACGGAAGATCCTTAGGGTTCAATCGGGGTCATGAGGGTGTACAGCGAAGTCGGGCTTACTGTCGGGACTTCGGGTTGAGAGTACGTCCGGATTCGGCATGGGACATGCGATCAGAGCATGATTCAGGGTCGCACGTTTAGTATGCCGGTCGTCAGCGGAACTTATGCCACCAGCTGTCTGTCAGAGTGTCTGCATTTCGCGCCTTTGCGTCAGAGATTGCACTTGTTGGTTTTCAGCCGTGCGCTCCAAAGCAAATCCGGGTGGCGAGGCTTGCCGAACTGATGCGTGGTGAATTGGAATTTACAAATTGAGCTTCGTCACGGGGTGAAGGATTCTGGGGTGGTGCGCGCAAAACGCTGAAAGCAGCGCCCCGGCTCTCTGCGACCTCTCGGCCTCCAGCGGCATGGTCCCTTATTGGTGATAGTGGTGGTGCTGGTGCTCTTGGTTGTGTGGTCGTTCACTGTTTGGAAAGTCCTGTTTGATGGGGTCTTTCCTCGGTTCTTTGCGCGTTCAAGTGGAAGCTTATGGAAGACCGCGAGGCATGGCTCCTTTGCTTCTTGCAGGCTGGAAACAGACTTTCTTACGTTATCCACAGGGCAGCTGTTGTATTCTCAGCAGATTGTCGCGTTGGCAATGTCCTCAGGCTGCGCCAGTCAGCGCAGCAGGTGGGCACGCAGCGCCGGATGGCCAGTGCGCCATGCTGCTGCCGTGATGTCAGGCAGCGAGAGGGAGTTCAGTTCGATTTCATGTGGGGCTGACTACACCCTGGCTGTCACAACGGAGCGGCGCTCAGCATGCAGGATGTGCTCTGTCAGCGTGTCAATCTGCTTATCCCAGGATGGCACGCCCATAACATGGGGGTTCCCACTAAGTGAGCGGCCGAAGGCGCCGGCATATCTTCCGTGCACCGGCTTTTCTGACAGAATGATATCTTTATCAGCATGCCCTGAAACCCAGCTCAAGCACCGATGGGCAGCGGAAGGTCGTTCCAAAACGACGATGACATCTGGGAATCGTTTGCCCGCCCCCCATCCCTAAAGCGCGCCTGTCAAGCCCAGAGCCCCGGAGCCTGAGCCTGAAACTCTCGGCTCGCGTTCGCCGCTTCGCCGCCGGTGAAGCTGAAGATGGCATGGCGATCTGCTGGGAATGCCTGGAGGGCACATGGACGAAGATCCAGGATCTCTTGTAGCTTGGACACAACTAAGTGCTAAGTCTGCTAAGCGCTTCGCTCTTTGCGAGGTTGCAACTTCGTGTCACTCGTACGGGTTTGTTGCATCCCTGCTGCGCTGTTGTTGAAGTCGATAGGTGAGTGTGGAAGGTGCTTCAGGCGGCAAGCCCTCTTGGCCCTTGACTTGAGACGCTGATTCCGAGGCTGGCTGCGGGCATCTCGGGCGTTGCGAAGGCGACTCTGGATATTGCTCTTGCAGGAGTTTTGCATTTGTCTTTCACCCGCATCCTGCGTTAAGACAGTCATGGGTGAATGTGGGCAGAGATGCTGATTGGCATCTACAAAGACCCGTGCTCAATGATTTCTATGATTTCTAATCGTCACAGACTCTCCGAAGCTCTCGAGGATAGGTCATCGCCTCGCGCCCCCTGAAGCTTTTCGATCCTTCCGAGGCAACGCATCATGACTTGCTCGACTTGGTTACCGAGCTGGAGAGCATCCAGGACGGTGCGTGTGCAGATATGCCCCACACCGCCGTCGCCGAGTTTTGTGCCATAACAGACCCGAACCCGAAAGAGCGGTTGGACTTTCCGTCTCCAGGAAAGCCGAGTGTCGGTGGACCAGGGGTTGCTTGCAGATCTCATCCGTGGCTTGAGCTATTCTTGTGGGATACAGACAGCACTGAAAGGTTGGGTAGGATTTGAGTGACAGTATAGTATAGATCTTCAAGCCTGAAGAGTGCCTTGATGTCAATGCTGATGGTTGAGAGGTGTCGCCATATTGAAGAACATGTATGGAGGGGGTTTTGATGTGAATTGTATTTGCTACTCTTTTGGTACTGATAGATGTGCCTTTCCTCATTCCTCCATTGATTGGGCCTGTTGTATTGACTTGCAAATACTGCAGAGGTCCAATAGCAACAATACACCCTTATGAATTGGTTTTGCATATGTTACATGAAGTACAGTGTAGCCTCGTTTTTTGAGTTTAGTCGTTGGCATACAGTGGGTGAGGACCCCAGGCGGTACTAAGGGACTTGGCCCCGACACTGATAGTGCAGTAAAGCCCTCCGTTACGTAACTTGGGCTTTACATGCCCCATGGTTCGGCAGAAATCTCTTGAGGCAAGTACGACTCTCAGATGCAGAGCTCACTGCCCCCAAGGCGAGCACCGGCAGCTTGGGCTTTCGTCGCAGGTTTAGGGTTGTTGACAAACTGTTGCGAGTCTCTTGTCGGGAGATGAAGAAATCAAGCGCAGATCGTCTCTGCAAAGTGGAACGATGTTAAGGCAGCGCTTTCATGCAGTTTTGTCCGAGATCCAAAGCCAAAACCTATGCACTTGCTCATAATGCTTCCTGTCCCTGTGGTAGCAAAAGCGTGTTCCAAAACTTCCTTGACTCCTAACCTTGAGTCCTGCAGACGAGGACTACTTGCCGTTTGATCTGCCCGTGGACGAGCGGGAGTACAAGATGCTTCCGCTCCCGAGCGAGACCCTCAGGCCCATCCTGGAAGGTGCCGATTGCCAGAAAATTTAGGGTTTAGGGCTGACAGGCCTAGGGTTTGCCCATAGCTGTTCTTTCGAGGCGAACATCAAGATCATAATGTTATTGACTGATGATCATGATGATGACGATGTGTTTCGTGTTTGTTGCCGCTTTCTCTGTGTGAACTAGAAGAACAAGCATCGCGACAATAGTATGAACATGAGCCACATCTGCTGCTCTTCCGATGTTGTCTTGGTTTGAGTCGTGGTCTCAGTCTCCGCTTTTGGTACGAGCACTTGCACTAGTACGAACACCAGTACCAGCACTGGTGTTACTGCTAGTAGCAGCAGTAGTAGCCGTAGGGGTAGCAGCAGCAGAATTATCAGTATGCCTATATCAGTATCACTACCAGGACAAGTACTTGTACTAGTTCTTGTGCAGTAGCAGTAGCAGTAGGAGTGGCAGTGGCAGTGGCAGTAGCAGCAGGATGCGCAGGATGAGCAGGAGGAGCAGGAGGAGCAGGAGGAGCAGGAGGAAAAGGAGGAAAAGGAGGAGCAGGAGGAGCAGGAAGAGCAGGAGGAGTAAGAGTAGGAGTAGGAGGAGGAGGAGCAGGAGGAGCAGAAGGAGCAGGAGGAGCAGGAGGAGCAGGAGGAGCAGGAGGACCAGGAGGAGCAGGAGGAGCAGGAGGAGCAGGAGGAGGAGGAGGAGGAGGAGTAGGAGTAGGAGTTGGAGTTGGAGTTGGAGTTGGAAGAGGAGGAGGAGAAGCAGGAGCAGGGGCGGAGCAGTAGCAGTAGCAGTAGCAGTTGGAGTAGGAGTAATAGTGGTCGTAGTTGTAGTAGCAGCAGCAGGAGGAGAAGGAGGAGGGGGAGTAGCAGTAGTAGTCGTCGTAGTAGTAGTCGTAGTAGTAGTCGTCGTCGTCGTCGCAGTCTTTGTCATAGGTAGTGGTAGTGGCAGGGCAACTGCAATGGCTGTGGCAGTGGTGGTGGCAGTGGCAGCGGCATGAGCGGCAGGGGCAAGGAAGAGTGGTACTGGCGCTGGAAGTGGTGGTGGCACTCTGTCGAAGTCGTAGTCGCAGTTGCATCGTCGACGCAGAGTAGCAATAGTCGTGGTGGTGGTGGTGCTGTAGTCGGCATCGTCGCACAAATCCCTTCTGTTGTTGTGGCTGCCACCTGTTCCGCGACTGCAGTTTCTGCTACTGCTGCTGCTGTGGTGCTAGTGAACGTGACGCTGGTCATGATGATACTGATCATAGTCATCATCTTGGTGGTGGTGATGATGGGGTTGGTGCTGTGGATGTGGCTGGTGGGTGTCTTGACCCCGAAAACCGAAAGCTGAGAAGGCAAGGGCCGTGGCACTAGAACAAACATTCCATTCTCTCTCCATTGCCCAATCCTCACCACTTCCCATGCCCACCGCGACTGTACTTCGGGCGTACGGCATGAGAGATGTGGGCACACCCGTTGCAGGCACCACAGCCTCCGAGCTGTTGGACCATTTGAGGGACGAATTTGATGTCCCACTGCATCCGCACTTTGTGCTGCGGATTCTGGAACTATCTATTGATCTCTACCAGAAGCGCAACGAAATGCATGGCCCGGTCATGAAGCTCCAGGTGCCCGGTGTCTGCTTGGACGCAGGAGCAGTGCAGGTAAATGTCGCCGAAACTGGCCGAGCTGGGCCATCCAGGACTCTGTGAGCAAAACTTAGGGCCTTGATAGGGTTCCACCAAGGCTCACGGGCCCGGTGACTCCTGCACGAGACTAAAACCCTACACAACCTGACTCTCGAGAAGGGTGGCGGAGTGAGATTTCTTGCAGGGGTCTGTGACAACACGAGAGCTTCATTGCCTGAGCTCTTGCGTGCTGAGGGAAGAGGCGATCAACAAACAAGCAACCCTAAACTCCAAGCAGCATCAACAAGCCCATCAAGCTTAGACCCGACAGACAGGATTGTGGTGCTGGGTGACACCCACGGGCAATTGGCAGATGTACTTTGGGCAGTTTCCGAGCTGGGACTTCCGACGGAGAAGAACGTGTACGTGGTCAACGGCGATGTTGAGACCTTGTCGCAGATGGGGGTTTCACAGAATTGTGGTTGAGAAGGACCTGTTGACAGCTTTTCACTTGTTCTTCCGATTAGTTTGCTGTGCTTCAAACAAGATTCGTGGAAGCCTAGCCTGGAACGAAACCTTAAACGCGGCTGTGGCAGCCAAGAGCCTCGCGAGGTCCTCTTATATTAGGGGTTCCTCCAGGTAGCATCTTCTGCCAGTCTTCTGCCATGCGCCAAGATTGCAATTTGCAAAAAATGGGACTGCACTGTCTAGGCAGATCGCTGCGACTGGTCAACGGAGATCTTCATGCTGTTCCTCACGATCATGCTGCAGTATCCTAATGACCCTGTCGTTGTCATCAATCGTGGCAACCACGAGTGTATGACCATAAACGCCTCACGATGCGGGGGGTTTCAGTACGAGCTGCTCGAAAAGTACGGTGCCTCTTGGGGGCCCTATCTGCATGCATTGTTCGGTCGCCTCTTCTGCGTCCTCCCTGTTGCAACCCTCATCAACGACGTGGTTCTGGTCATCCACGGGGGAATCGGTCGAGATCCCGAGAATCAGCTAAGCCACTTGCGGAACCTGGATCCAGAACTGCGGGAGGCCAGGCAACCAGACCAAGACTGCAGCCTGAACCCCAAAAAGCCACCGAAGCGAAGTGTTCCTGAGCAGTTCCTGAACGTCAGCTCAGGCTTCCATCAACCCATGGGGCCTGGAGGGTGATGCAGGCATGGATGCGCTGGTGGATGCCTTGTGGTCCGATCCCAGCGACGTGCCCGGAAGCCGTCCCAATGCAAGGGGAACTGGACACATCTGGGGCCCAGACTACACCAATAGATTCTGCCAAAGCAACGACTTGAAGCTAGTGATTCGTTCCCACCAAGTCCCTTTGGACCAGATCTTTGGCCCAAAAAAGAGAAGTTTCTTTGGATGTAAGCGTGGCTGTTGGCGTTTCATCTGAAATTCACATCTGACTCCGAGCCAGGAGCGGCGTGTGCGTGCACAAGGCGCACAAGCAGCTCATCACGGTCTTCAGTGCTTCCAACTACAGGCCCGGGCCATGCAGAGCGCGACCCTAATTGAGGGCGCCGTATTGACCCGCTCACAGCCGTTTACTTGACTTGCAGCATGCTGTGTAGGACAGCAGCAAGTGCATGGCTCCGTAGTAGTCCAAACTTGACCTTGCGTTGCGCAGACGCCTTGGGCTCGATTCAACAAGCCCCGTTCCAAACACGTCCACCTTCCTCCAAAGACACGGTAGTACTGTAAGCGTTGTGTGCGCTTCCCAAAAGAGTCTCGCAAGTATATCGCTAAACAGACTTAGAGATGAGTCTGACGCAGGTACTGGGCTTCTTGGTTCAGGGGTCTAATAACACTTGGTGGGGTCTCCGCTGTCCGGCCCATTGCTCAGGGTCAGTCCTGGTCCTGTGCCTGGACTTGTAGGCCGCAAGGTCATAGCATGCTTCCAGGCAGTTTTTCAGGCAGATGACACAGGAGGTTGTCCCGACCAAGTTGACGACCTGCTCTGCCACCTGAGTGTTCGTATGCCTCTTCAGCTGAGCCCGCGTTTTGGTGCCTCCTCGGGAAAAGCTGCCGGCTCTTGCTTCCCTCCTCGGTCACGGACTACTGTAAACAGCCACACCCTCCTCACCAGGGATTACTTTTTCAGATTTCATGAGATGTGGGGAAACTCTTCGGCAAATCTGTCGCCAGGGGCCGACAGAACCGGGCTGGCGCAGTGATCCTGCAGCCGGGAGCGAGCCCAAGCTCCCTGGAAGCCTTGTGTGTCCCGGCTGAGTGCTTCATTCCATTCGCCTGGCTCTGTTCCCCTTCTATCAGATAGCTGTAGCTATAAACTATAAAGCATCAGTTATGGAATGGTCGACCAGATGCGTTAGCGACATCGATGTAATCAGGGTTTTCTGGCGCCAAAGCTTGAGAAGTTCCGACGTGCAAGATCTCGTGAAGGGAACGAGGTCGTACCTGCCAACCGTCCTTTTTCGCGTGTAGATTGCGCTGGCGACGACGATGTCGACTACCGTGAAGACGGTGCAAAAATCTTGCTTAAGATGAAGTGTCGAAGACGAACATCATGCTTGGTGGTAGCCATGGTGATGACGATGTTGATGTTGATGTTGTCGATGGTGATGAAGATTTAGACGAAGTTGAAGCTGAAGACTTAGATAGGCATTTTGCAATTCGGTTTCTTGCCAGGATAGCTTGGGAAGTGATTTCCGTGCTGCGGACCTACTTCTGCAGCAATTTCGCAGCTCGAACACCGAGAGGGACCTCAACACAGTCCTGGAGCACGGAGAACACCTAGGCATCCTCATGTTCGTCGTCGTCGGCGTCGTCGTCAAGCTCATGGTCGTGGTCAGGGTCATGGTCATGATCCAGAACAACTGCTGCGCACACACCAAGATTTCATTGTAGATCGGATGTTTCCGAATGTTCAGAAAGCATCCACCACCCTCCATCCACTCATCATCCCGCCATACCCCGGCATTGTACCAGTCAACGCAAGCACCCTTCGCACAATTTCCCGGACAGTACCGAACCGCAAAATGACCTCCCAAGTCATCCATGGCTTTCGCTCCCGAGGCCACGACCTGGGTCGGTGCCCTTCTTGGCGGGTGCTTTCAAAATCTGCCAACCTGAGACTTGATCGCAACTCGGGACATGTACCACCTCAAAGCTCCGTGAAGGTGTTTGTCGCCGGGACCTGGGTTTCGGGGAGGTGTTTTCCGTGTCGTACCCTTCAGGAGGCCGCGCACCAAGCTCGGGGACACCGGCGGCCTTGCAGCATTCGCTGGGGTCGCTAGTGACTGGAAGCGGTGTCTTGGAGCTGAGTTGATGATGAGCTCGTGGCAGAGCTGATGCAGCACTCCATGGGCCTGCTGGCGGAGTGGCGCCTGCCGCTCTGGGAGGCCTGCACGCGCCCGGCGCCCAAGAGAGAGAGAGAGAGACCGGGATAGAAGAAAGGGCGGCTGCGCTATGCTACGCGCGCTCTTGAGGCGAAGACCCTCTCCTCAAAGGGGTGATCACTTTGTCGAAGTGGCGGCAGATTTGTCGCAGCACGACGAGCATTTACATCGACTGGATCTTGGTGGCTCGCCTTGTGGGTGGTGCGAGTCAAAACCATCTGCGGTACATGGAGACGCTCAATCGCTTTGGCTTCGAGATCGCTTCGCAGGCGAAGAGTAAGAGGATAGTACGTGTTGGGGATTGCAGGGCTGTTCGCTTGAAGCCGCCGTGAAGGTCGTTGAGAGCCGGTTGGCCGGCTCTGTGTTGGCTTCCATTTACCTGACCATGATGCGGGCAGACGAATCCTTACATCATCTTATGGGTAACCTGTGCCAGGCGAGCGGGCGGAAAGTTTCGGAGAGTCTGTGCGAGCTCCTGACGAGAGTTAGGCGGGTCAGCGAGCGGCGCCGGCTCGACAGCTCTTGGATGGCCAGGGCCCTTGAGCCAAGCTTCCAGCTTTGAGGCGTCAGTGGCAACTCTGTAAGTGCTAAGGTCTCTGTGAGATTCTGCATCGAAATGCTGTGACTGGCGCAATGCTCAGTCAGGGACGGTGGACGGCGCTCATCAGGTGATGCCCTGGTCGTGCTTTGTCGATGCTGTCTTGAGGACCTGAGACGGCTGCGGTGCTGCGCAGCATGGAAGCGCACATTGGCGGTCGGCGGACGTCCACTTCAATCGACGTTGCCGACTTTCTGTCTGCCTGGCGATGTGCTGCAGGTCCTTGGATTCTGGATTGAAAGCCCGTTGCACGGATGTTGTCCGGTGCGTTGGTTTCCGGCTTTGAGGTGTCTCGGCGGAGCTGACCCCCGAGCAGTCGGAGCTTTCTGCAAAGATCTCGCGTCTTCTGGGCTCAGACCGACGGACACGCAAGAGGAGCCGTATGTGGCATTGATCCGAAATTACTTGTATCGGCCAGAAACTCGAGCGAAGTTGCACCGGCCAAGAAATCGATTCAGCAAAGAGGATCAGCAGTCTGGCACCTGCTTCTTCCACCACGCTGCCGTGGGGCTGCATTGGTCGGGTCCCCCCCGCCCGAGGCCAGGCCATAAGCCCAAAATGGAACCCACCGAGGATGGACTTCTTCACTTTGGCAGATGCTGACGGTGACGGAAGCTTGACTAAGTCTGGCCTTGGCTCAGAAACGAAGAAGTTATGTGCCTATGCCGCCTATGCCTATCTGAGGGTACATGTCCATTGATGAGGGCTTCGAAGCTCTAGCCAAGCACATGCAGCAGACGACGGGGCGAAAGGCTGTGGGGTTCTATCTTCTTCGCATCGTCACAGCGTTGTCATGTGGATAGGCAATCAGTATGCCAGGTGAATGACAAGGAAGCCGAAGAATTACAAAAGGTGTTGCAAGTGGCTGACACGACTGGATCAGGCCCGTGTTGCAGTCTTTGCCTTTGTGTTGGTGTGGTTTGTTTGCTTGTCCTGTTGTTGTCTGAGGGTGTGGATGCGGTGCGGGTGTGAGCGCATCGGTGTTTTGGACTTTTCTGACATCTTTGTAGCGGCTTGCCTTTGTTGACACCTTGGCCTGTTTTCGAATCGAGGTTTCTTTCTCGAGGCCTGCGTCTGTTGACAGAGGCTGCTTGAAGGTTGAATCTCGTACTGTTATGATTGCATGTCGTGCTGTTGTGACATGAGACCTTGCCAAGGACGCCGTCCAGTTTCCGACGGCGCACCCTTGCTGATGCAGGGTTGTTTTGCTTTCACATCTTTGATCTTCTGTGCCATGACAACTTGACGACGACCCTTGGCAGTCTGGCAGTTTCCATTCCTTTCCGGCGATGTTTGACGTCCCTTTTTTCAACTTTCGGGAATTTGCATGTACACTGTGATCCGCGGCTCTCTGGGCTGATCCCCCTGCTGATTTTCAACTGAATCGTGTTTGCTGTGTTATCGGCGGGTGTGCATTTGTTGACACAATGCTTTTGCTTCTTTGGACTTCGTTGATGCCGACGGTGTCCCGTTTTCTATGTGATGCGCGGATTTATCTCGTGGGCGTAGAGCTGTTCAGCAGGTCTTGCCGGATTCTCTCGTGACAGCGGCAATACGGTGTCGTTACGTGATGCTTTATGAATGAGATTGCCCTGCGGAGGGAGCATATCACCGAGCTTTCCGTAAAGACTCTGCTGACAATGGGCGTTATCATGATTATTGTCATCAGGCGTTGTCCGCTGTGCGGAGTACATGCTGGATGTTGGTGAATGTGGAAGGCTTGTACAGGTGGTGTGTGCAGGTGTGTAGGGCGCTCGGTCTAGCGGGTGGGATTCATGCGTGCAGCCGCGGCTGCACTCAATTTCTGCCTCATGCTGGTTGCACATGACAGGCAAGCTGAACTACTTGGAGTTCTTGCTCCTCTTTGATCGGCAGTCACCACGCTCTCTTACACACCAAGCTCTTCTCGATCTTCTGTGCTTCCAGGCCGTGATTCTGCTGCTCATGCTCGCACAATGTCACTGTGCTGTGGCTGTTGCAGCTAAAGAGCACGAGCACTGCACGAGCAGTCGCAGCTGTCGCAGCTGCAGGTGTGGGCTCACCGCAGCGCCTTGTCGGGCCTCTTTCGGTACATTGGCCGCAGTGGCCTCATATCGAGAGACCAGGTGAAATGGAGCCTGGAAACCCTGAACTCTTCCATCCACGGCGACCTCTTGCAGGCCGGGGCGTACTTCGCTGGTGAGGACAGCGACGATGTCTCTTTTATGCTGATGGTCACGGTGATGGTGCCGTTACTAACATGTGAATCTGCTACTGTACCATGGCAGTTGACCAAAAACTTGTCACATGCTCCCGCCACCCTTCGGGAGTGATGCGACGGAATTTCGGCGGGCTCCACTTACCGTAACACCGTAATGGTGCGTCAAGTCATTGTTCCCTGTTCGGATCGCAAGCAGTTACAGTGGAGACGGTTGCCATCCTTCTCTGGCGCGGTCTTCTAGCATAATTACGCAGTTGTGACACTTGAGGCCAACATCGAGCAAATTGTGAAAGCAGTCAAGTTCAAAGATGACTTGGTTGCTGCGGAGGAACTTCTCAGTGCTTTTCACTTGGTAGATCTATTGGGTCCTGCCTGAAAGAATCCTTTCGGCTCCCTGTTCATGAGCCAGGTTCACAGCGCAGTGACGGCAAAAGTTGCATTCTTGCGAGTCTTCGGAGTGTGGCTTGTTCTGATACCTCGAACGCGGCACGAATGTCACCGCGCCTGATTTTCTCCAACTTTCGGTGCGCAGGTATACGTACCACAAGGTTTTCTCTGGCAAGAGCTTTTTGCTGGCACTTCCCATTCATGTGGGATTATCAACACTGGTGCCTCGGCAGCGGGCCTGCAAAGCCCTAACGAAGCCCAAGACTTCCAAGAGCCCCAGATTCGCTCTGGAAGCTAGGCGAGACCCTTTGCTGGGGCAGAACGCGAGAGGGGCAGTGTGACGTGCCACGAGGATACAGCTTGGACCTCAGAGATCGTCTTCTCTGGTCCTGCAATGCCCTTCCTCCTGCTTCGATTACCTCCTTTTTTGTCTGCTTCAGAAACTCTTTCGCTCGTAAAAACTCATGGGGTTGGATGGTGGGATCGCTTCTTCAAGTGGTCAAGCCATATGACGATGAAGTGTAGCACACACTTGTTTGTGCGAAGTGACAACTTATTATCTCACCTAAACACCGAATCGGTCAGGGGATTGACTCACCGATTCAATTCGATCGATTGTATACTCCGTGGCCATTTTGGCGAAAGCTGTTACAGCTTGAGCGAAATTTTGTTTCAGTCCCCTCGGATCACTCCTCGGTCATAGCCGCTCTTGACGGCCAGTACTTCGAGTTCTATTACGACCGCCGCTGGCGGCCAGTACTCCGAGCACTACGGCTTCTCTGTCGGTTGCACGGTCGATGGAGAACGACGACAATTCCCGGAACCTCGTGGGTGCAGAAAAGGTTCTCGCACGAATGTACCACGAACATCACACATCCAAGATGTACACCGCCACAGCATTGGGAGAGATCGTGTCACAACGAATTTGGACGAGCTTCAATACGATTAACTCGACCAGGAAGAAGGACACCAATGAGAAGAAATTGGTCCTCGATGAACGCAACAATATCACCGAGAAAGCACACGAAGAGTGGGACGTACGAGGACAATGGATGCTCATCGACGCCATCGAGGCAATCCGATGGGCATGGATTCTCATCAAGTACTCCTCCGAGACGGTCATCAATAAGTACGTCGATTGGTTCATCCGACTGGTCCGCAAACACTCACAACGCATCAACAATGTTAAGAGCCTCTGGGAGGAGTTCTCCTGGGACATCGCCATGCGAATGCGCTCGAACGAGACCTTCCAGATGATTACCGAAGACCTCATGAACGACCTCACGCGAGTCAACGATGTCATGCAACAACCGCTCTCCAAGCGACCACGAGTCGGTAAAGGCTCCGAACAACCTTACAAAGGCAAGGGGAAAGGATACCAACAGAATGGTCTCCACCGGGACAAGGACGGCGATATCGACAACCCTGGACGACGATGACAACTCAGTGGCGATCCTGGCAGCCGACGACGCAACCATGGAGCGCACCCGCTTTGCCGTCATGGCCGACGGCACCGACACAATCTTGGACTTCTTCAACACCATCGAACTTCACTACACCGACACCTACTCCGACGATTCCCCTCAACCCTGCTCCGCAAGTCTCACTACAACCCCTGTGGAACGCGAAGGGCGAGAAGGGCTCGAAGGGCGCCGGCAAGACAAGGCCGGTAAGTCCGGCAAGAAATAGGGACAGCACGGCCCAGGGTCTTCAGACTCTGGAGCCGACCATCGAATGACAGACCCACACGACCGGATTTGTACACTGTGCCACGAGCTGGTAGGCACCTTACCGGTGGTGCACCTGTCCTTCTTCGATGGTATCGGGATCGCTTCCGAGGCACTTCGACGCATCAACGAGAACGTCATCATCACCCTCGCGTGGGAGATCGACTCCGATTGTGCGAATTTCACATCGAAACTCTTCGGCTCTGTACAGATGCGGGACGTCGAACAGTTCAACCTCGAGACCGTGGTACAACACATCGAGACCGCGACGAATAACAGACAGTACATCATGGTGATCACGGCAGGCCCCCCGTGTCCGGATTTCTCCAGTCTGCGAAGTCAACCCAAAGGGTCCGATGGTACATCAGGTTGGCTGTTCAAACACATGGTCAGCATCGAACATCAACTTCGTAAACGCTTCACGGGCGTCCCGATCGAGACGATCTTCGAGAATGTGGTGCCCCACCCGGACGTGCGAGACAACGTCGTGGAACTCACGTCTCCGATGAGCATGGATCCGATCGTCATCGACGCCGCAGACTCCGGCGTCATGCGCCGCAAGAGACTGTGGTGGACATCGATTCCTTGGAACACCGTCGAAGAAAGACTACCTCGTCTCACACCTTGGCCACTCGATTGGCGACTCGACGGAGAATGGCACCGACTACACAACCCGATCGGCTCCGACCTGCAACCCCAGATCTCGGCCCGGGGATACTCCTTACCACCGTGTCTTCACAACGACAAGAAACTGTTTCACTGCTTGACTACACCATCTACGTCGACATTTGGACGGGAACCCCCCAGACAACTCCGAGACCGCTCGACATCACAAGATGCATGGCACCGATGGGAACAAGACAATCGACGATACCCGGTGTGGCAGTATGAAGATCAATTCCTCGTCACCTTGCCGGACGGGTCGTGGACTACAGCTCCCTCGTCTTTACGCGAACAACTACAAGGCCTACCTCTGGACTACACGGCGGCACTCGGAGATGGTGACGAGACGAAACGTTGCACGGCCCTGGGCAACGCTTGGCACCTACCTACGGCGATCTGGATCATCTTCTTGCTCCTGCTGGGGACTGTTGACGCATCCATACCCGATACACCCCGAGTTTCTCCATTGCAACAGATTACCTCTCTTTGGTTGCACAACACGGTACCATTTGGCCCACCACCCCGAACCCCAAACCACGACTACATGCCACAATTCTCCTGGACCGATCATCTTGACTGGGCATTACATAGGGATACGCACTTGTCACCGAAAACACTCGACCCTACGCTTGAGTGGTGCCTCCAACATCGACATGTGTTTCACCCACTCATGGAATTCCAGAAGGCCGTCATCGACGACATTAGGGCGCTCGTCGACGACATGGAGGAACACACGACGGCATGGTTTGACACCCTTCCAGAACACGTACAACGAGCATATCGGCACAAAGACTCGGTCACACAGATACCCGTCCTCGTTCACCTGCTCAGGATGTTACAATATCCACAAACCGAGCTGATCTACCGCGAGCTCTCCGAAGGTTTCCCCCTCATGGGGAAGTTGACCCCTGGGATTAACTGGCACGTGAGACAAGACCAGAAGTACCTCGAGCCTACGCCCATCGACGAGTTCAGCGAGAAAAACCGACAGTACATCACAGATAAGATCGACAAGAACTCCGTTGAGGATCACTGGGAACTCATGCTGGACGAGATCTTGGCAGAAGTTGACATGGGACGGATGAACGGACCGTTTCAGGCTCCGGATTGGTGGCCTCGAGCCGCAACCGTCCCACACAAAGGACGACACCGTACCTTACTGCCGCTGCCACACTCCGACCCCTACATCGCCATGGCTTTCAGCATCGAACAGACGGGCAGCGACGGCAGCAACAAGGTCAGACGAGGCGAAGATTGGCGACGAGGTGGACACAACTCGACATGCACGATGCATGACCAGCCCTACCATCATACGCCCGATCACTTCACCTCACTAGGACTTGCGACGATTCGACATGATCAACTCAAGCCCCTCTCGGTTTGGGGACGCGACCACGACGGAGCGTACCGACAACTCCCACTCCGAGATCCTCGAGAAGCCTATGTGATGCTACTGACGCCGGACGGCCCGACACTATGGAGCCACAACGTCCTCCTCTTTGGTTCGGCCGCTAGCGTATGGTCGTATAACCGATTCGGCGACATTTTGGTCGCCTGCAGTCGCACCATGATTCTGTCTCCAGCGATGCATTACGTCGACGACTACGGCTCCATGGAGGACTCCGACTTGGCCAAGGGCAGCTTCGAGTCATTCGAAGAGTACAACGGGTGTTTACAAATCTCGATGAAACCCAGCAAACGACAACCACCTCAAAGAGCCCATCGGATCCAAGGCGTCATCATCTCTTCCGACGACGACAACCTGGTGCTTACTCCTTGTCCAAAACGCGTTGAGAACATGTGCAAGCAGATCGACATGCACCTGACGACTTCGTCCTTATCACCCGAGCAAGCCAGGAAGATGGCTGGGAAGTGCAACTTCCTCCCCGGACGATTGTTTGGGAAAGTGGGCCGAGCAGCTCTGAAAGCACTGTATGCGCGCGCCCACTCCCACTCACATGCCCTCGACAAACCCACACGATCTTCACTACTTGCCCTCAAGGACATCATACAACATTGTCGCCCCATGACGATACCGCGGCAGATGACCCGACCCAAATACAGCGTCATCTACACGGACGCTTACTTCCGCCTCGGGGCCAACATCTATAGGCCGGGGGACACCGAAATCCCGAATTGGGACTCGCAATCGACATCCGACATCGAAAACGGATGGGCTGCAGTTTGCTTCCGCCACGGTGATGTGCAAACTGCCGCTTACTTCCAG